CAGAGGGGCGCCTGGGTGGCTCAGTCAGTTGGGCATCTGATCTTGACTTCATGATCTCAGGATTGTGAGAAAGAGCCCCTTGTGGGGCACCCTCCTAGGCATGGAGGCTGCTTCAGAGCTCTCTCTCCCTCTCCCCTTAACCCTCCCCACACTTGCACGCTCACTCTCTCTCTCTCAAAATAAATAAATAAAAATGTACAGTGATAGTACTAATGAGAAGTGATATAATAACATAAATTTTATCAAATACACAGGACTAGACACAGAAATTCAGACATATATTTTATTATAGTAAATGTCTGGGTCATCAAAATACTGGTTTCCTAGTTGAATGGCCAAACACCGCCACATTACCTGGTATATGTCTAGACAGACCTGAGGCATGACTCAAAGGGAACTCAGGCAACAGGGACCCCAGTTATGGGATCAAGGCCAACTGCAGCAGTAACTCAGGGCTGGGCCCCCAGAATGAGGGGCTACAGCAACCTTTGTAACTCCTTTCTATCTTAAGTCTGGGTTGTCCCTAGAAGCCAAGTACACTGGGATGAAACAGATGAGAAAACAGTTAAAATTAAGAGTTCAGTTATAGTACTTTTCTGATGAGTACACTTTTTTTTTTTTTTTTTTGGTTTTTAACCAAAGAGGTGAATGATCTGTACACTGAAAACTATAAGACATTGATGAAAGAAATTGAAGACGACACAAATAAATGGAAAGATAACTCATGTTCCTGGACTGGAAGAATTAATATTGTTAAAAGGGCTATACTACTCAAAGCCAATGTGATCTCTATTATGATTCCAGTTTTTACAGATTTCACTTTTTACCAAAAGAATTATTAGAAAATAAATAGAATTATTATTAGAAAAAATAATTCTAAAACTTATATGGAATCACAAAAGACCCCCCCCCCCAAACCCAAGCAATGCTGAGAAAGAAGAACAAATTTGGAAGTATCACACTTCATGATTTCAAAGTATATTATAAAGCTACAGTAATCAAAACAGTATGGTACTAGCACAAAAGCAGACACACAGACCAAACGAAAGAGAGCTGAGGGTCCAAAACTAAACCTATGAATACATAGCCAACTAATATTTGACAAAGGAGCCAAGGACACTCAATAAAGAAAAGACAGTCTCTTCAATAAATGGTGCTGGGAAAATTGGACATTCACATGTCAAAGAATGAAACTAGACCCCTATCTTATAACACTCCCCCAAATTAACTGAAAATAAATTACAGACTTAAATGTAAGGCCTGAAGCCATAAAACTCCTTGAAGAAAACATAGGGGAAAAGCTTCTTGACATAGGTATCAGCAATGATTTTTTTGGATATGACACCTAATGCACAAGTAACAAAATAAAAAATAAACAAGTGAGACTAGATCACATTGAAGAGCTTCTGTACAGCAAAACAATCAACAAAATAAAAAGGCAACTTATGGAATGGTAGAAAATATTTGGAAATCATATATCTGATAAGGGATTAATATCCAAAATATATATAGATCTCATACAACTCCATTGCAAAAAATAAAAATAAAAAATAAAAAAATAAGAAAACCCAAATAATCCACTTAAAAATGGGCAGATGATTGAGGTACCTGGGCAGCTGGGTGGTTGAATATCCGACTCCTGCTTTTAGCTCAGGTCATGATCTTGGGGTCATGGGTTCGAGCCCCACATCCAGCTCCTCACTCAGCCTGGAGTCTGCTTGTCCCTCTATCTCTCACTCTGCCCCTCCCTGCACTCACTTGCATGCATGCATACGTGTGTGTGTGCTCTCTCTCTCAAATAAATAAAATCTTTAAAAAAAAAAAAATAGGGAGGTGACCTAAGTAGACATTTTCCAAAGAAGGTATTCAAATGGCCAACAGGTACATGTAAAGGTATTCAGCATCATTAATCATCAGGGAAATGCAAATCAAAACCATTAATGAGATATCACCTCATACTTGATAGAATGGCTATCACTATAGATAACAAGGGTCGGTAAAAATGTGGAGAAAAGGGAACACTTGTGCCCCGCTGGTGGGAATGTAAATGGTTCAGCCACTATGGAAAACAGTATGGAGTTTCCTCAAAAAGATTAAAAATAGAATTACCATATGACCCAGCAACTCTTCTTCTGAGCATTTATCTGAAGGGAGCAAAATCACTATCTCAAAAAGATAGCTGCATCCCCATGATCACTGCAACATTATTCACAATAGCCAACACGTGGAAACAACCTAAGTGTCCATTAACAAATGAATGGATAAAGAAAATGTGGCACTGATATAATGGAATACTATTCAGCCATAAAAAAGAAGGAAATCCTGCCATTTGCAACAACACGGATGGGCCTTGAGGACATTATGCTAAACGAAATCAGTCAGAAGAAGACAAATACCGTATGATCACTTATATGTGGAATGTAAAAAAACTGAACTTAGAGAACTGGTGATTGTCAGAGGTGGGGAGTGAAGTGAGGTTGGCGAAATGGGTGAAGGTGGTCACAGTACATAAACTTCTAGTCATAATAAACGTCCTAGGAATATAGCATACAACATAGTGACTATAGTTAACAATACTGTGTTGTATATTTGAAAATTGCAAAGAGAGCAAATCTTAGAAGTTCTTATCACAAGAAAACAAAGTTTGTAACTATGTGTGGTGATGGATGTTAACTCGATTTACCATGGTGATCACTTTACAATATACACATATATCAAATTCTTTTGTTGTACACCTAAAACCAATACAATGTTATGTGGCGATTACATCTCAATTTTTTAAAAAGATAAATGAAAGGCACTACGCATAAGAATCACAGGAAGATACAAAACTATTTCATACGCTTCCCTTCAAGCCAATCTCAGGATACCATGATTCCAAATTTCATTGCTTCCCTACACTTAACTGGTGGTGCCTTTTTACTTGCAGCTCTTTGACTTTTTAGGCTAGGTTCTTAAGAGGCCAGAAAATAAACTGCATTGGAAAACAGTAATAGGCAAGCATGGAACAAAAACCCTGCAGTGAGAACATTTTTACATTTCTACAAAAAGACTCTGCGTCCACTCTACCGTCTCCCACTCCTCCATCTAGGTACAATCATCAATCCAGAAATCTTCATTTCTGGAAAAAAAGTACTGTGGCAAGAGACAAAGGAAGTCAGAGAGCCACAAAGCCAGCCTCCCACCGAGTTAGGAACTGAATGCCTTGGTGGGAGGGAGGGGGTGCCAAACAGTGACCTTGCTGGGCCCAAAGGTATGCCCCGGAAACCTTGGTCATGAGAAGAACCTTAAGCAGACTCTCTCTTCTGAAACCCTGAACCCCCAAACTAGTTCTGAGCATGCCGAAGGCTCTTGTGTGTGGGGGGGTGCGGTTTGTGATGCAAGATCTTGCTGCTTGGCAACAAGCTTGGTGCTCCACGAACTTCCAAACAACAAAACAAAACGTGATTGGTTCCCCTGTGGGCAATATAATAGCCCTGGTTAACTGCTTAAGTTTCAATAAAGAGGCCAAGTAAAACTATGGGTTCTGTTCATAGTATCGGCACAAACTCACTGATCAAGGAGTTTAATTTCTTCTCTAACGTCGTTAACAAACTGACAATATAACACTTGCTTCCCGTTCTATAAAAACACTTTCAATTTTAATGACAATGTGCACATTTCGTTTGTTTAGAGAAACAACTCCTAGACTTTGGAGGAATGACAGAAGGGGGTGGGGAGAGAAGAAATCGACCAAGTATACTCCAATAATGGAGACGATTTTTATAGGTGAGGTATCTAAAAGTAAAGGGTTCAAAATAACGTCATTTGTTAGCACATGGTTTCTGTGAATGGCTAACCATAAATTTTTTTCCTTGCCTGCATTCCCAAGTTGGTTTCATAGAAGGCTTTATTGTCGTCCCGGAGCATTGTTTTGCATTAATTTCTATGACAAGGAACCTAAAACACATGGTGCTGAGAGTAACAAAACAGAGTTAGGGAAACAGTCATGACTTGGCACAAAGTGTGACAAGCTGTAAAAAAGGGAATGTTTCAATATCTGAAGTGGTGTTGACTGCCTATGAACAACCTTTTCTCTTCTAAACAGTATCATATTCTTTTCAAGCACATTTAGAACGCAAGTCAAGCTGTGTTTTATTTTTGATCATAATAAACACAGTCAGTTTCCTGTAACAAAGACATACTAGTGGTGACCAGTTGAAAGCCAAAGTACACCACCATAAGCTGGGCGGGGGGTGAGGTGGCGGGGCCTGGGGGGTGGGTAGTCAACAGATAAAATAAAAGAGCAGCCGTCTGGAAAGTTCTCTTAAAAGAACATAAAAAGCCAGTGTTTTCTTATGAGACAAACACAGAATGCCAAAATATCTAGCTGGGCTCTTTTTGTTGTTGTTGTCATTTATGGCAATTTGTAACTAAAAATAGCAGATCCTTCAAAATATTGGGCTCTCCTATTTGTGTGTGTGTTTTTTTTAAATCTCCATAATCAAACACAAAAACTTTGGACAGTGCTTTAAATGGTAACACGATTTCTTATGGAAGACTCATCCACGTGGCAGCTTATTACGTTTATCATAGTACTAATCAATCTGTTGCCTTAAAATGATCATTTAAAAATGTTTATAGAAATAGGTGAAGGGATAAAGAGGTACAAATTTACAGTTATAAAATATATATGTCACGGGGTTGCAAAGTACAACATGGGGAATATAGTCAATAATATTGTAATAACGTTGTATGGTGACCACACTTACTGTACTGAGCATAGCTTAATGTATGGAATTGTCTGTCGAATCACTATGTTGTACACTTGAAACTAATATAACATTGTGTGTTAATTATGCTTCAGTTAAAAAAGTCTATAATTATGCATGCATTTAGATTATTGACGAAGGTGAAATAAGTTTACAGTAAAATGTTTACAGATAAAGTTTATAAATCTTTCATGATTAAATTGAATTCCTGATTTCAAATTTATTAGGAAATAATGTAAATCACCTTACCATTTCTTGAACTAATGATTTTTCATAATCGAGCTCACATAGTAATCTGTCTCTACCATCAATTAGCTAAAAGAGAAGAATATTACATTTTGATTAAAGAAAAGAACAGAATGTCTAAAATTCCTCCTCAGCAGAATTTAGCAACACGTATTTTGATTTTAAACAGGAGAAAAGGGGATTCTAATATGATTTAGAAAATTTAAATGTCTGTAGATTATCATGTAACAATAATACATTATTATATAATTACTGTATTTTTACTAGAAAAGCAAGCAAAATATACACAGGAAATGCCAATTTATTTACAATCTTCCTCACATTACCCCAACAGAATGTGACATCAATATATAATAAAGCAAGTAGAGTCTGTCAAGAAGAGAAATTTTGCTCTCCTCTTTATAGGACCCATTTCTTTTCTTTTAGATTTTTGTGTTCTATTTCTACGCACATCAAACTCTCTTCATGCCACCTGAAAACAGCCATCAAAGAGCATACACTGGGGGCGCCTGGGTGGCTCAGTTGGTTAAGCGACTGCCTTCGGCTCAGGTCATGATCCTGAAGTCCCGGGATCGAGTCCCGCATTGAGTCCCGCATCGGGCTCCCTGCTCGGCAGGGAGTCTGCTTCTCCCTCTGACCCTCCTCCCTCTCATGCTCTCTCTGTCTCTCATTCTCTCTCTCAAATAAATAAATAAACTCTTAAAAAAAAAAAAAAAGAGCATACGCTGTAGGGCCACTGCACTCCTATGACTTGCCTCCATATCTTCAGTGATTATTTGCCATTTGTGTATATTTATATTATACTATATTAGATACACTGATATAATATAACTGATATATAATATATATTAATATATATCATGATATACATGTTATCAATGATATATAATATCATATATTATGTATTATATATCATATTATATATCAGTTATATAATATATACACATATGTGTATATATGTATAAGACATATAATATATACCAGTTATATAATATTATATACATATATTGGACGTCAGTTATGCTATATACACTGATAAACTTCAAACCTTGATTCTGACATCCACTCAATTAATTCATATATTCATTTATTTATACACATGTATAGATGTGTATATTAGATGCCGGGAGGTCTACGTTCGTCTACGGAGGTACAGAAATGAAATAGAACAGATCTCTTCCTCTGGAGCATCTACAGTATGGTAGGAGAGCAATGTGAAAAAATGACCATAATACGTAAGAAAATATGTTAATAAATCACATTTTCAGGTGGTCAAAAGCATAGCGATCTACATACCCCAGCAACCAGTTATAATCAGATATACCAGGAGAGGTACTGTTTGACAATGGTCTTGAGGGATACGTGCAATTTGGAGAAGGAACAAGGCAGAGAAAACAGCAAACAAAATAGCATAGCAACTGGAGAGGAACATGGAGTCATGGAGGACTTGGGGAAGGCTTGGTGTAAGGGGACCCAAGGTGCAGAGAGACAGCAGTGGCAGGAAAGGAGGAGGGTTGGGTGACCGTAGGAGAGGCCTCGCTCCCCACAGTCAGGGGTGGAAGGCAGAATGATGCAATGAGCCGAACAGGAGTCTGTTCAAATGGGAGCTCTTCTCCTTACTAGCTGTGTGGGTTAACTAAGTCTCTGCTTCAAGTCTTAGTTTTCTTGTCTGTAAAATTAAGATAATAAAACCTATTTCAAAGAGTTCTTCTGGAGAGAATTTAGCTGTTTCTGGCATCTGAAAATCCCCCAGTGTATTTTTGGGTGCTCTGATTTTATACGGTAGGCAATGGGGAACCATTGAAAGTTTTAGCACGTACAATGAAGGTAGGACACAGCTATGGCAGAGTGTGGAAGCTAGATCTGAAAAGGGATGAGGGTGGAGACAGGAAAATGAAGTTCGAATCTATGGAAATGATGAGAGCCTCAACCAAGTCTGCAGCAATGCTGTGACAGAGAAAGGGGATTTAAGATCAATTCTGGACGGAAAATCTACAGATTGAGTGACCAACTAGATATAAGGTATAAAGGAGAGAGTAGAGAACGACCTTAGATTTCTCATCTGTTCTTCAGGATCCATGGCAAGTTCATTCATTTAAATGGGGGAACACAGCAGAATCCAAATTCAAGGGGTAATGAGTTCAAATTTTGACAGTGGGTTTGATGAGCATGTAGAGCATTTTTTCAGCAAATATTTTTTAGGGCTGATGACTAAGAATATAAACAAGACAGTTCCTGACATTAAGAGAGCAAATAGTCCCAGATATGCAGGGCCATAGAGGGAGCTTCTAATTACCATAGGAAATGGATGGGGACTGTCAAAGTGCATGTAACATCAAAATTAAAGATGAGAACAGAGTTGAAACTAGAGACGTGGTGTTCAGGGTAATCACGAAGCAGGAGAGGAAGTTTGGAAGTCACTGGTAAACAAGTGTGCCAGTTATGGGAGAGGCTGAGGTCAGCTAGAAGAGAAAATGAGGAAGATCAAGGTTAAATAGAATTCCCAAGAATGGAATTCAAGTGGAAAATGGAGAAGGAGAAGCCACCGACAGGTATTGCTTAGGAAGGAATGAAGAATTGTGTGAAGAATCAGAAGTGAGCATTGCTGCAGAAGACTCTATGACATGGCAAGTAGTCTGTCATATATGGCAGAAAATTCAGGAAGGAAAAAAACCTCAAAAGGATTGAAGGCGGGGCGCCTGGGTGGCTCAGTCGTTAAGCGTCTGTCTTCGGCTCAGGTCACGATCCCAGGGTCCTGGGATCAAGCCCCGCACCGGGCTCCCTGCTCAGCGGGAAGCCTGCTTCTCCCTCTCCCACTCCCCCTGCTTGTGTTCCCTCTCTTGCTGTGTCTCTCTCTGTCAAATAAATAAAATCTTTAAAAAAAAATTAAAAAAAAAAAAAGGATTGAAGGCAATATGAATCTCACTGTGACCTTATCCACAGGGGGAGTGAAAAGGGGCTGGTAAACATAGATTTCTTTTAAATAATATTTGAAGTACAGTAAATGGCAATGGGTTGGGGGTGATTAGGGTCAATGGATACCACCAAGATGATGGTTTCACTACGTCTGTAAGCTAGAGGAAAATTTTTAAAAGCATAAGAGAGAAAGGGGCTGATGAAGAAAGTTCCAGAAGAGGAAGAAGGAAGAGATGAGTCAGGGAATAGATGGAAGGATGAATCAGGGCAAAGAAGAATGATCCTCTTCAGATAAAAAGGAGTAAAGGTAAGGCTAGGTAAGCTAAGTGACGGAGTAAGAGAGCGCAGAAGGGGGAAAAAAAAAATCCAAGTGTCCGCCATGTTTCCTGTGAGTTAGGAAGCATGGAGGATGGAATATGGGAATTAAGAAAAGTAGTGGAGATTAGAAGAGCTGTAGGGGGTAGTAAGAAAGGGTGCTAAGTAGATCCAAGTGAAATGCTAAGCAGGGAGAAGGTGCAGCTACTCTGGATTAAAACCCCATATGCTTGCAATGCCACCAACAGGCAAGGATTGGCCCATCTCCACTGGAGCAGGGCTGGAGAACAGTGGGGACTGGCTAGATAAGGGTCTCCGAAGGTGACACAGTGGTATAGTTGATAAGGTGGGAGGGTAGATGGCAGGTTTAGGGAAAGTAATGGAATGAGGTGGAAGGAAAGGAAAAGATTTTGTATTGAGTCATCATACCTTGGTCTGAAAAGGAGTGTCACCAAGTTTTCAATGGGTGTCAATTACCACAAACACCAAGACCATTAGCCCCAACCCTTCCTGCCTCCTTAGATCACTCTTCATCAATGACCTCTTCTGCTCTACATCTCCACTCTCATTCTTCTTTCCATTGGCATCGTTTAAAAATATTCTAGTTTCTTCTTTAAAAAAGAATTCCTCCCTCAGCCCCATGTCCCTCTCCAACTACTCCCCTACTTCTCTCTAGCCATCCACAGCCAAACTTCTAGAGAGTTGCCCATGCTCACCGTCTCCACTTCTGCATTCACCCTGCTTCTCACCGGTTCCCACCGTTCCAGGAAAATGACTCCCATTAATATCACCGGGGTCACTTTGTTGCCAGAGCTAATTGCCTAATCTTCCCTTTTGAGCCTTTAGCACAGTGCAAAGGAAATTCTCCCTTGCTTGGCTTCCGTGATGTCCCCTCTCTGGCTTCCCCTACTGACTGTTCTCATCTTCATTCGAATGCTCTCCAGCCTCAACTTCTCCTTTACCTCTCCCACCTTCAACATTATCAATGACCATAGCTTTTACTGCCTAAACATCCCTGGAATTCATCCTGCTTGATCATTCCCAGTGTCACTGTCCTCTTTCTGTTTCAGATTATACTTTCTCTGGTCTATCCAAGTAGCCTCTTAACTGGTCTCTCTAGCTCCAGATTTTCCTCCCTCCTTCTCATTTTCTTTCTGAAACGTGAAACCAATTCTTCCACAATGTTCAAGGCTCCCCAATGCACTCAGAAGGCAACTCAAACCCCTTAGCATGAATAATAATCCTCTGCCATGAGCCCTGCTTCTTACCACCCCTTGCTCTCACATACCCCTCAGCTACAGCAAATCACATGCACTTACTTCCCTTTTGCATGTTTCTGACCCTTCCCACTTCCCATATCCCTTTCCTGGCTTACTAGAACCTCTCTTCTGGGAGTCAACTCAGAGTCCTTCCTCCAACCTTCCCGGATCCCTTACAATCCACGCTGGGCTCCCCAACATGGCCCACAGCAATCTATGCTGCCCTGCATCCTGATGCTGATCACACCCTGAGCTGTCATTTCTGACTTCTGGCTGACTCCCTCCCAGAAGGAGATTCATATTAAGGCCACAGCTGGAATATAGATTCAGCTGTTATTAGATTATTGGAATTTAAACATGCAAGTTACTGAATATCATAATAGACAGTGCTGCAAACCCTGATGGAAGGCACGAGATCAGCCTACCCAAATACAGGCCATTTTCAACTTGGTTTTCATTGAACCCAGGGCTAAAAAAAGGAAACATGTGTCTTATCCAGGGGCTTCTGAGCTGTTTACCCCGCCCCCTTCTTCTGCCCCAACACAAATTCTCATAGCTCACCGGATTCCTACCTTGTACTTTAGCCATACCAAATCACAAACAAGTCCACAAACATATCTCATGCTGTATGCATTCACGGTCTGACCCAGCTCTTCCACCTTCCTACCTACCTGGAAAGATCAGCTCCAGTGAAAGAGTGCAAAATAAGTGTGGAGCTATGTGTGAAGCCTTTCTAGAACCTTCCAGGTAAAGCTAGACATCTCTTCTCTATGTACATACTTCCATTACAGTCCACATCACACAGCCCAAGGGTTTTTGTCTCTTGCTCTAGACTTAATCTGCTCTACAGCAGGGCCGTGTGTGTGTGTGTGTGTGTGTGTCTCCGCAGTAGCACAGAGCCTGGCCCTAAAAGGCATCTAATAAACATTGCTGAATTAACTGATATAGTGGAGGATATTGGAAACCAAACCAGTAATATCAGCTCTTGTTTGTTCAACAACTCCTGACGTGCTTGCCAGTTGACAAAGCACTTTGATGCACATTATCTCATTCTATCTTCACAGTAAGCCTGTGAGAGACAGGAAGAAGGATAAGGCACTGGCCCAAGGGACCACAGTGGCAGAAATGGAAGAGGAACCCAGGGTTCTAGATTCTTTCTGCTCAATACAAATTTGTGCTTATATTCAGTGTCTCTGTGGAGGTCCAGTACGTATAAAGAAAAAAAGAAAAAAGGATTTAGAAATGATCAAACAGACTAAGGATCTGCTATATTTGCAGCTAGCAATCTAGCAGCTATCTCTGCTAGAAGAGAGCTGTGAATTAAAAATATGGTGCAAGATATATATAATTTTGAATTTTATAGTAGCCTTGTTAAAGAAAAGGTAAAAGAAACAGGTGAAATTAATTTTAATAATATATTTCATTTATCCAAATATACATTCAAGATATTATCATCTCAATGTGTAATAATTAATATTAATAATCATTGCTGAGATATCTCACTTAAACTAAGTCTTTGAAACTCAGTGTGTACTTTTCATATACAGCACATCTCAATTCGGGAGCTAAAATTTCATCGGAAATATTTGATCTGTATTTAGACTGCATAAAACTTACAGAAGAAAAAGCAGATTCACATACCAAGTTATTTAAAATATAAAATGTATTTAAAATATAACCAAGTTATTTAAATATAAATATTTAAAATATTTATTTATAAATCTTTAAATTTAAATTAAAAAATTAAAATTAAATATAATTTAAAATTGAGTTCTTCAGTTGCACTAGACACAGTTCATATTTTCAACTAGCCACATGGGGCTACCACTGGGCAGTGCAGACCTAAGGAAGCTGAGGATGCATTTAACTGAAATATTTAAGCTCACACAAGGTATAACTCGTCACTCGAAGGGGCATGTTTCTTTCTAATTGGTGGCTTCCTGGTCAGATTTTTCGCTTTAATTTCTTGTGCTCCTCACAGAGAATAGTAAGCTTCCACAACTCATCTCTACCAGTGACAGAACAGACTGAACAGTTTTAGAAACATTTAAGCCTTCCTTGGAGGTTAAGTGACACCAGAAAGCTGGGACTTCATTTTCAACCGAAGACATTGACACTAAAAAGGTTAAACTTGTCTGTCCACAGACTCTTGTTTTCTCTGTGAGGACGGGACTTGTACTGTCTCCGCTGCAAACAAGGTGAAGTGCAAGAAAATGAACTCTCTCTGCAAATCCCCATCGATGGGTTTGGTTTTCAGAGAAAACATCGCCCAACTCTGACCCTTCAGGGTAACCAAGTCTTTAAAAAAATAGTTCCTTTTTTTTTTTTAAAGATTTTATTTATTTATTTGACAGAGAGAGACACAGCGAGAGAGGGAACACAAGCAGGGGGAGGGGGAGAGGGAGAAGCAGGCCTCCCGCAGAGCAGGGAGCCTGATGCGGGGCTCGATCCCAGGACCCTGAGATCATGACCTGAGCCGAAGGCAGACGCTTAACGACTGAGCCACCCAGGCACCCCTAAAAAATAGTTCTTAAGAGTAATTTTATCAAAAACCTAAGAATACCCTGAACTGTAAAATCAGGTTGAAATTTGGACCTAAACTTAGGCACAGGTGGTCATTCGTTAGGGCTCTGGAAACATGGCTAGTGCCTCTGAGGGAATGAATGTTTAATTAAAACTGAATGTCACCCAGTTTTAATTAATTTTCATTTTAAAACTGGCACTCAATTCAGTGAGTGGAGAGCATTGATGTTTATTTGGAATAAGTCAGGGATGTAAACACACGTTTTCACCTGTAAATTTCCTGAACTCTAAACACACATCTTCATTCTATGAATCACTCAAAGAGCATTTGTCCACACACCAGGCACTGTGCTCAGCACTGGGAATATACCAGAAATGGAGATGATACCGTCTCTGCCCTCATGAGGCTAGCAGCACGGCAGGGAAGACAGCCCGTCGCTGAAAATGTGTTGATAGCTAGGATGGAACGCTACCACTGAGAGCTAAGAAAGCCCAAAGCAGGGGCACCCGACCTGTGCGGGAGGGCGGGACTGCTGTGGTCCTGCGGCCTTGGATGCACTGGGAGATCTTGACCTTGCTGATACCCAAAAGAATTCCAGTTCTCAATACAGATTTCCTGCACAGCATAAGCCCAGTTCACATGCAAACAGAAAAATGAACATGAAGCCCCATCTGGGCTGAAAATAAGATTGCTCCTTCTTAATAATAGAATTCTCCCACAAGCACACCTTTGGATCCCCGGTGTCCATATAAATTTTCAGTTCCTTACAGTCAACAGGGTAGACACTCAGTTATCCCAAAGGAAAGAACTATCTGTACATTCATTCATTTTCAAGACTGAATCCTTATTTATTACCAGAGACCCTACCCAAATCACGGGAGAGACTAAATACAGAAATGGACTTTTCTCTACACCCCAAGACAAGCGGGACACAGTGTTATTTCACTGTCGTGCTGACATTTCAATGTAAAAAGAGTCGTTCATCAAGGTAAAACATTACAGTACCTTTTGAATAGTTTTATGATTCTTTTCTGCCTTCTCTTTCAGACTTACAATTTCATCTCCTATAAACAAAAGGAAAGAGAGACCAACCATGAAATTACAAGCTTATGGCCCTGTATTCAAGCTCCCTGCTTCAGGGCAGGCTGTACACGGCTGGCAGACATGCTGGACGCAAGTCCTAGCAGGACTGTGACCTTCACAACTGCCCTTGACATTCACAGCCTTCTTCCTGCTGTTCAGACGGCTGGTCAGATAGGGATTAAGAACTAAGTTCAAGATCCAAGTGTGGCTGAGGTCTAAAAGCTTTTCATCCATACTAGCAATGGACATTTTTGCCGTTAGTCACAGCCAATACAAAGTGCCTTAGCAGGTGGCACTTTATGACTCAGTAAGAACTAGAAAGTCTGAAAAAGCAGCATCGCACCACATTAGAAGGGAAATGAAACTACACTGGCATGGTATAATTTATATTCAAGGGATATTGTAATCTATCTGATTTCATCAATATTTTGCTCTAAGTTTTTGTGGGGTTTTTTTATTGCTTTTCATCACTGCAGGTAAGGGGAACACCATGTAGGTAACAGAAATACAAAGATAACAGTAAGTGAAAAAAGACTTTAAAGCAGTCTAACTTTGGTGATTTAAATGCACCTTTTGCCAACGTTAAGGTATGTAAAAAAGGGGAGTATGAGGCATACACATGAAGATTTGTGCTTTAAATTTGTATCCAAAATTGAAGATAGTTCCGTAGTAAGTAGTGCCATATTTTTCTGAAGGGCTAACTCTGTTCCTCCATAAAGGATACCCCAGTCTATGTGCTTAAGTATTTAAAGGTTATAAATTTTAGATAATCAAGCAAGCATATGAAACAGAAATCAGCAAAAGTCTCTGTCGATTTATAATATTTCTAGGTGAAATCTTAGTACATTTTTCAAAGGTCAATGTTTGTCTTGGGGGGAAAACAAACACCCTGAGTTAGAATGGCATGGCTCAAAAATATAACCACAAATAAACCCTCTTTCCCAAGCAAGGAATGCCATCTTCAATAAAAATCAAACCGATCTTAAACTCTCGTATAAAAGCAGGAAACAAGGAAAACACATTCATCTGGACGGTCTTTCTTCCTATCCATCTATACATGTAAATCCAACTGATCTTATACATGTAAACAACCAAGCAAACATATGTTTGGTGAAGACAAACACCGCTATGGATTTTATGAAGTGCCCAATGCATAGGGTTTTCTCAAAAATGACTGTAAAAGGTTACCTAATACTGAATTTTCCTTTAGATTGAGTCGGATTGCTTCTTCGAGTTCTGAAATGATCTGAAGCAGTCTCTTGTTTGCCACTTTGTACTCCAAATTTTCCCTCTCTAGCATCGTCTCTCTGGCAAAAGTGTCCTGAAAGATGGGGAATTCCGTATTTCTAAGCAGAAGGCCAAGGATTTAAATATGCAACACAAGACAATACAGATGCAGAAGAGCTATCATATAATTTTCTGAATTCTATTACACACTTATAATATGAATAGTAAAAAGGAAGGAGATTAAATAGAGCTCGCTGGAAGAAAGGCTGCAGTACATTCTGTACAAAGACCACAGCACATGGGGACATTTTATTGACAGGAATAATGCATATCATACTGTTTGTGTGCCCTCATCATTCAGGTCAATTCATTATGGAGGCTGCGTCCGGGGAGGCAGCTGGGGCCCCTCCACCCACACGTCCCTCTGTGTGTGTCTGAAGCGCTGTCCGCCTGTAACTAGGCAGGCTGGGGGGACCGGGACGGGCAGCGCCAGGGGGTGGCAAAGTGCACGGTTAAGGAGGGGGGCTTGTTGCCTTTGTGGCATTTCCCAGTGTCAGCGCTGCCGGTGTCATGAGGAGCACATCACATGTCAAAGCGGTGACGTGTTCAGCCTGGGAGCCGCATGGAGTCCATCAGGCGCACGGATATCCACACAGTTGGTTTTCGGCTTGGTGGAGGAGCCACCCAGAGGCAATTCATATTCTGAACATTAACATGGCTTTGCATGCCTGTCACACTGGGGACTGTGCAGGCGTTTAATGCTATTGAAGACTTCAGTTTAAATCTCTATGCAAACAGCGATTACCTTGTAAGAAGGTTTCAGGATAACTTACAACAAAGGACTTTAAAGTTATAGTTTTAGTAAAGCAAACTCATTTACATTTTTATTATGTGCGTCTTTTGTTTAAATCTTGCCATGTCCATTATGGGAGAGACTTTTTCTTACGCAATAGAAGCTTATTGGGACAGCTACTCTTCCTTTCTTCTTCTTCTTCTTGTCTGTTTCAAAGCTTTTCAAAAACATCTGAATATACTCTCGCTTATGGCTGTCGAGGTTTTACCGCCACACATTTTAAAAAAAATTAAGATGTAATGGATTGGGGAAGCTGGTGCAGAACTTTGTACTTCGTGATGGTAAAATATTAAACGATCACACAATCTCAAAATATTAAGGAGTAGGCTGAAAAGTCATTCTATTATTGTGCTAAAAGAGATAGAAAGTTCTATATGCCTTGCTTCAAAACTCATATGGTTAACAGAAGTACTTTTGAACTTTAATCTTCAGACCAATTATAATGTATTCTTTTTGCAGCAATGCCATGATTGCTAATACAAAAAAAAAAATGAGATCTCCTCTCAAAAACAAAATCTTCCTTCCCAACATACTGGGTCCCTTTTGAAACCGTATTTTTATTTAACCTTAGAGAGATCTGAAAGTAAATTATTAAAATGTTTTACTCTGTGACCATAATGTCTCAAAAGAAAAAGAAGTGGCTACAATTTTTGCAGTACATTTAATAAACCCAGTACATTCAATAAGAAGCCACCTACTAATAAAGTTAGTCTTATCAGAGTTAATTTTTAAAACAATGTTAAGTTTTGCACTAAACCCAATACAAATCTTTATGATTTTGATCCACCATTTCATTTACATTATTTGAGCCCAACTCATTCTTAATTCATGAGAACTAACAAATCTAATAGTTAATAAACAGCACTGTTTTAATAAAGGAAGAATCCCAATCGTTAATTTCTAGTCCCACGTGGTTCAATTTGAAACCATCACAGAAGGTACTTATAGACTAAAAATGGTTTTTAAACAAAAACAAACAAACAAACAAACAACTCATATTTGTCTCCAAAGGCTTAAGCATACATTTCCTAACTGGCAGAATATGAATGACCACAGTGAATGATATGAGCACTCATTATCATAAACTAAACAAGAACTATTTGAATTCATCACACGAAGCATGAAATGTATAAGTGGTAGCAGCTAATACCTCAATGCGTTTTCTGAAACTCTCGTATAAAAGCAGGAAACAAGGAAAACACATTCATCTGGACGGTCTTTCTTCCTATCCATCTATACAGCTCCCGTGCTTGTGAGGTTAATCTTTAGCTCTGTCCCCACCATCTGTCAGCTGCAGGAACTGCACGTAATTAACTATTCAGACTCCCACAGCAATGAGGACACTCATTAGCAAAATGAACAAAGGGATAGTTCTGGGCTGCCACGGTCATCTGTTACACTCTGAGTGGCAGGTTTTGTGGTGGTGTTCCTTCTACCATCTGCCCACACCACTAGTTTTTGGCTTATTTAAACCATGAGACTTCTTTAAAGTAAACTGCGTTAACAAACCAAGGTTAAAAAGGATGGAGATCATTAAAAGGTGGTTAACTAGATGTAGCTATTTAAAGCCGCACCGTAGCTGAAGAGAGATGGTGTGTGATCCACGATCATTCTGGAATTTTAAATTTCGAAAGGAACTCGCCAAGGTAAAGTTTTTCTATCACGCTGTGAAAACGAGGACTTCCCGCGGTGGCTTAGGCACTAGTTCTCTGGTGAACATTGACGAGATGGGCAGAACCGTCGTTCCCCGGTTTCGGAATCCTAAACAGATCTTGAAAGAATCGTTTTTGTAGACTTGGTGTACTGTAGAGCCTTGCTACTCAAAGTGTGGTCCACAGACCCTGAGCCCCGGCCTCACCCAGGAGCTTATGGGAAACGCAGACTCTCGGGCCCCAGCCCAGACCCACTGCCAGAATCTGTATCTTAACCAGAGCCGCGGAGGATCCATACACACAATGAAGTCTGGGGAGTACTGTTTAGAGCCCTGCATGTGCCCCTCAGCAGTCCCCCTTCTGCCATATTGGTGTCTCAATTCTGCAGGCTCCCCGTACAGTACTTGGACATCTCAATTTGCTGCTGGGGGGTGCAGGAGGGTTTTGATGCATGCCCGCCCGTGCTGCCTGACAGTCACGGAGAAGAGCAGGTGCTCTCCCGGTGAGTGACAGCCAGGAAAGTGGCGCACTGGGGCAGTGCAGCCCTGCAGAGTTGCCACTCTTGACGGACAGCTCTGTTTCGGAGCTGTCAGCAACAAGCAGTTACGTTCCCTTCTCGAGGGGCGGAGCGGGGGCGTGGTGATGGTTGCACAGCTCATTTATGGGAGGGTAAGGGGAAAAAATGAAGTCAGTTGCAATTAAAACGCACGTGCATGTGTGCGGGCAGACACGCGCATACCTGCGCATGCGCCCTGGCAGCCCAGCCTCCGTTTGCAACCCTCAAGGGGGCTGATCAATGGAGCGCACGACAACCGGAGAACCACAGCGACATGCAGCTAAGTCACGACCGTTTCCTACAGAACTAAACTGGAAAAGAGGCTCAGTCCTTGAGTGACGGTGCTCGGAGGGATATTCAACATCAAGCCTGGAGAGATGAGGCTTCTATAACTTAAAGAGCTCCCTTTCCCGATTTCCATTTTGTTATAAATATGATGTAAGCTAGCGGTTTATTAAACTTTCCCTTTGCGATCACAGTCTCATCAGTTTTTCCTCAAAAACCATTCTAGAGAGATGTTATGACTACTTATTAACTATAAAGCTATTCATATAATTTGACTGTCAGTAAGAATGAACTAAAGTGTTTCCCTATTGCTTATTCAGCTTGCTTATTTCAAGTCGTTTCAAGTTATCTCCACTGCGACTTTGAACTTCTCCGTTTGGTTCTCCAAATTCTGTTTTCCAAATCTAATCTCACATGCTTGGTGTCTTAAGCTTTTTTATACCACCAGAGGGAGCAGTTGTATAAGATGAAATTTCAAATTTAAAAAGCTCTCTTTCAGATCCTCGGTGGCATGGAGTTTTAGGAAATCTTAGAGGATTAAAAAAAAAATTATTCTCCATAGGTTTATTTTGTATAACTCATGATCTGTTTTGTGGCCTTCATGTCCATGTTCCTGAAATGCACACCAGTCCCGACTGCTCTACACTGCCCTCAATCAAGGTGGGAGACCAGCGCCATACATTTTGTGGGGGTCCTCAGGAGCTGGGAGAAATGTATACTCCCAGTAAATCAGGAGTATCTTCACCTCCCTCAAACCTTAGGGTGTTTACAGAAATTGGGATGTGGGGACAAATTTTAGTGGAATAACCAGGGTATTCAGGATGTCTTCCTGAGCCAGCAGGGTGGAGCCCCCCACTTCCCTTGTCCTCACAAAGCCGCTACCCATCCTCATCCTCCTTCCCCTCTGCATCAGAGAGAACAGTTACCAGGTTGAGGACATTTTGAGATGTAAACCTTACAAAATAGACCTCATGCTTTAGTGTAAGGAGCTCATTTACCAAATAGGGATGGTCTGAACAGGTCCTGAGGTCTGTTCAGAGCATTTCATGGAATGTAAACTAGATGGTCATAAGGACTTGTGTATTTCCTCGAAATGATAACTAGGATTTATGTACTTAGCTTTCTTCAAAGAACTCAAAGCAATTCACATTCAGTACAACAGGTATCCTTCTCACAACTATCTCTTTTAGCTAGGCAGGTATCTTTGCACTTCACAAATGGGAAATAAATGGACAAAAATCACCCTGTCAATCTATACTGGATATCTTTGACCAAGGAAAGATTAAAAGCCAAAACTATTACAGTTGTTTTAGTCCTTTCTATTAAATTATTGTCTCCAAAAGATAAGACTAGAATTAGACCCAGGAAAAGGTTAAAGTAAGTGCAAAAACTGGATGTGCCTCTTCCAAAGCAGTCAGAACATGTAAAAAGAATTAACATTTAATTAGATCTATGCTACTAACACTTAATATTTACTTAGAAGATACTCAGGTTTTTTTAGAACATAAACAATTCTAATAGATTATACAAAGTAAACACTTCTTCACCAATTAGTAAACAAAATCCTTCAGAATGATACAAGTGCAATACCTTCTCTCTTCTAAACTTGGAGTTTTAAATAAGATTACTAGTGTGAGATTTAGGTAAATTATCTATTGCTTTAAAAGGACTGGCAAAGCATAAGTGTTTCTTCCTAGTGTTGACATTTGGATGTATAATTTTTCAGACCATTTCTGTGCATATCTATGCATGTGTCAATATTTACATGTGTATGTATACACCTGTATGAATATATGTGTACATTATAATATTATAATATTATAGTCTATTTTATATATACATATCAACTAGTTAATTTGGAAAATCACAACCTTGACACCTTACTGTAGAGCATAGAGCTCCACATCCTTTTGTGGGCTTCAGATTCAGCAGGACCTCGGTTCACATGCTATCTCTAGCATGTACTAGTTGTGTGCCTGGGGGAAGTAACTTAACCACCCGTCTCTGCTTCCTCCTCCATAAACTGAGCCAGGAGATGAGAAGAGGTACCACTGATGAGGCACGTGGTGCCTGCCAGTTGATATTCAAAAGATTGTTATTCCTCTGGCCTCTCTTCTAGCCTCTCTGACTCAATCAGCTTCTTGCTCTTAGAATCTAATAATAAAGTCTCCTCTGTGGCTCTGAACTGTGGTTGGGCCACCGCCAGTGGCTCAAAGCTGACTTGAGATGAAAATGAATTCACTCTCAGCGTCCACACTTTCCAGAGCCCTTAAAATTCTCCTCCTTGACAGGAGTTTAGCCTCTCCTTGCTCTCTCCTTCCATTTCTGTTCCCACCAGTCCTTTGTCCAAGTAGTTAACCAATTTCTGGCTCCCTTGGAAACAAGGAGAAGTGGGAGCGGGGGAACCCTTTGAGAATTTTTCCTTGAAGGTCCTCCTGTTCCATGGTGCTTCGTGGAAGCCTCCGACATGGAGATTGCTTTGTGTCTTTCAAACTATCTAAACAGCAAAACAGGGTTGGAGTCTTCAAAATTAAAACAAAAATCTACGTGCTTTTCTAGAATAGGACAATTTCTGCAGTGGGAAATAGTTGATTTCATTTCTATTACAAATAAAAATTGAAAACAATTATATTGCTCCTATTTATAACAATTATGGGTTTTCTGGAATATGCCATTGAGCAGAAAAAGGTTGGACTGGCTGATGTTGTGGAGAGATGTCCAAGATATACCACTTGTATTTCCTTTATTCTTGAGCCAAACTTTTGGAAAGTTATAACTTTATTTATATATATTAAAATTAATTATTCATTGCTTTGAAACTTACACATTTTTGAAGTCTAGACTCTTTGTATTGGTCTAGTTCTTCTCTTAATTCCTTAATAACTTCTTCTCTATCCTTCAGTTTTTTTAACAAAACACTCATTTTGATAGTAGTTGATTCTTGCACAAAAGTCTCTTCTTCCACCTCAAAGAATTGCTGGGGGGAAAGCAACATTAAAAATCAGACACTAAGTGAGCACCATCAGAAAGTAGTTCATGTTTTATTTAAGCTACTGTCTTGTAAGTTATTTTATTTTTGGAACTTGCACACAATTTTCAGGAAATAACTATATTTATATTGAATGATACGCTAACGTGCCATAGAATATGGCACGTTATTTTATTCTCCTATAAAACACAAAGCATTATGTGGTACTCTAACTGCATCAGCCACGCAAGTAATCACAGTAAACCTTAATTGTAAATTCACATCATGGTTGTGAATGTCCTACTTCAACCTTCCCCTAGAAAGGAAGATAGCAAAAATTTGAATATGTAAAAAGAGAAGTAAGCTTCAGTGGTGCAACTAATTCCCCCAGTGGTTTGGTATGGAGATGTGGAGACAAGTACCATTTCTTTCCTTTTTTTCCACAGAAAAGCTTTGTAGACCATTAATCTAGATAGACTATGCTTCATTTGAAAACTTAGGAAACTGAGACCAAAGCAGAGGAAGATGCATTTAAATAGAATTTTTTTTCCTTGCAAAGCTGTGGATAATGAACCATTAGGCATAAGAAAGTAATCTTCAGGGTCTATATGCATAACCATTCTAAAATTATGTAATTCTAACATATCATTCAGTTCTCTCTGCATGAAAAAAATGGCTATGTTTCTGCTTTTCTTAAAAAAACTGAGAAAGCTGTTTTTTGATAACACTAATCAAATAGAAATTAAATGAAAAAATACACTCTCAAATTGGTTTGAAATGAATTTGTATATTAGTTGATACCATATATCACATATGGTGTTGCTCTTATTTTAATTCATTTGACATTTAATTCATTTGGCTCAGTCGGTTAAGCGTCCAACTTTTGATTTCGACTCGGGTCATGATCTCAGGGTGGTGAGATTGAGTCCCGCATCAGGCTCTGTACTGGGCATAAAGCCTGCCTAAGATTCTTTCTCCCTCTCCCTCTGCCCTTCCCCTACTTACCCTGTTCCCTCTATAGAAAAAAAAAATTTAATTCATTTGACCTTATATCATGAGCATGTCCCATGTCATTAGCATTTTACATAAATGTAATTACTGATGGTTACATCACATTCTGCTCTATAGACATGCCATTATTTATATAATTATAATATATATTTTTTAAGTTTTTTATCATACCGTATCTTTATACCTACACCTCTGTCCACATTTCTCATCTTTTTTTCTTGGCATAGATCCCTAGAAGTAGAATTCCTGACCAGAGCATATAAATGTTTCAGTGGTCTTGATTCATTTCACAGATTTCTTTTCAAAAAGATTGTGCAGTTTATATTCGACCTTGAGGATGAGGATGTTTGTCTTACTACATTCCCTGAATCACTTGTATATTTTCTGAGTCTTACTATGACAATATATGAACGTACTATTTTATTTTTGTTTTAATCAGCATGTTTTACCTCTTATTTATTTAAAGATTTTATTTATTTATTTGAGAGAGAGAAAGCAAGAGACAGAGCATGAGCAGAAGGGGAGAGGCAGGGGGGGGAGGGGGAGGGGCAGGGGGAGAGGGAGAAGCAGATTCCCTGCTAAGTAGGGAGCCAGAAGTGGGGCTCCATCCCAGGACCCTGGGATCAAGACCTGAGCCGAAGGCAGATGCTTAACCAACTGAGCCACCCAGGCACCTCTTTTTTCAAAAAGTAAACTCTACCCCTGACATGGGGCTCGGGCTCACGACCCTGAGATCAAGAGTCACATGCTCTACCAAGCAAGCCAGCCAGGTTCCCCTGAATCAGTATGTTTTGATCACCAAAGTGAATTTTTTTAATATCATATTAGATATTTATGCTATATGTTTTGAAAATACTCAATTCTAATTATATGCCCTTTTGCTGAGAACTCAAAATAGTTTTAGAACTCCCATTGATCTATTCAGTAGTTTTATTGATTAGATTTCCTATTTCCATTTGCTGGTGTAGAAGTGCCATTTCCTGACAGCTTGTTTTAAGCATTTAGGTGCTTCCCCGTTTGCACTCAGTACTCTGAAGAACCGTGTCACAAAACCAAACAGGGACGAAACACTTACAAAATGAACACTGTTATACTTATTCCAGTATATAAAACTCTCATTTTCAATCCTGATGTGTAAAATCATATTGTCCATTTTGAACTCTTGAGAATTACAGCATGATTTTGTTTTTATGTGTTCACTGCTAATATATTTGAGCACATGCACATACAGGAAATGTAGTAAAACCTAATCACATCTGCTAGTATTTCAGAGTTAGATTCACAAACTAAAATTGTTCTTTAATATATGATGAACACCAGTCAACTGAGGAGCATAATATACCAGGGTAGAATTGAGAGTCACGCTAGGAACAGAACACTGGCAGGGCCTACGTTGCATTACTGTAAAAATCAGCATATGACTATGCAGTATATTGGGAAAGATTGAAAGTAAAACAATCCACATGACAATTCCAGCTTTTTAAATTGAGTGACATTAAAGAACAGGGTCGGGGCACCTGGGTGGCTCAGATGTTAAGCATCTGCCTTCGGCTCAGGTCATGATCCCGGGGTCCTGGGATCGAGCCCCGCGTCGGGCTCCCTGCTTGGCGGGAAGCCTGCTTCTCCCTCTCCCACTCCCCCTGCTTGTGTTCCCTCTCGCTGTGTCTCTCTCTGTCAAATAATAAAATCTTAAAAAAAAAAAGAAAAATTAAAAAAAAAAAAAAAAGAACAGGGTTGACTATCTAGAGCAGGATAGCCTGCATCGACAGACCAGCTCGGTCACTTAGTGCCCTGTGCCCGAGTCTTATTATCTGTAAAATGAGATTCATAGCAGTACCTAAAGTACTGTGAGAATTAAATAAGACAATGCACCTAAACCATTTTGAACAGTGTCTACAACACAATCAGCTCCCTGTAAGTATTATACTCTGGCATTTGATTTTCATTCTTTCTTATCATTCAAATCCAGATGCCACTGGCCCTGGGAAGCCTTAGCACCCCACCTGCCCACCTGCCCTCCACTGCTGTGTTCTTTCTGTATCTTGTCCTCTTGGGTCACTTCATTTATTATTTGTTTATTTGCTCACTAATTTTTTATGTTCTGAAGATGATGGATTTTACTTTTAAAGATTTATTTACTTATTTTTTTTTAGAGAGAGAGTAGACTGGGAGTGGGGAGGGCCAGAGGGAGAGGGAGAGAGAGAATCTCAAGCAGGCTCCTTGCTGGGCAGAGCCTGACATAGGATTCAATCTCAGACCCTGAGATCAAGACCTGAGCCGAAACCAATAGTCAGACGCTTAACCAACTGAGCCACCAAGGCGCCCCTATTTTACTTTTAAAAACCTCCGAAACAAATAATACATTATATGTTAAAAAGAAAGAAAGAAAGAAAGAAGATAGTAGGAAGGGGAAAATGAAGGGGGGGAATTGGAGCGGGAGATGAACCATGAGAGACTATGGACTCTGAGAAACAAACTGAGGGTTCTAGAGGGGAGAGGGGTGGGAGGATGGGTTAGCCTGGTGATGGGTATTAAAGAGGGCACGTATTGAAGGGAGCACTGGGTGTTATGCACAAACAATGAATCATGGAACACTACATCAAAAACTAATGATGTAATGTATGGTGATTAACATAACATAATAAAATAAAATTTAAAAAACAATACTATTTACAATAAAGAGATATTCTGTGCTCAAAAAAAAAAAAAAAATCACCAAAATAAAGACGCTTCCGACAACCTGGCCAAGTCATCTCCTCTGTGACGTGACGCAAACCATGCTGAATGCTCCTTTAAAATGCCCCCAGGAACTGGGCTGAGATGCTGCACAAACTCAGCAGTGTGGGAGCGAGCCGGCCTGTCTGAAGGGCTCGGTCCCTCTGGACTTCAGGGCAGGGAGGGTCATGCCGTTCTTTGGAAGAACAAAAAGTTTTACTTCTGACATTTCACAAAATAGTTGTAAGGCCCAAACACATTGGATTCATTTCTCTTCATCTCCAGGAATGTTTCTGATGTTCGACCAATGTTTATTGAATGAGCTGGACTCACGAGGAGATAAGCGGAAGGCACTTTTATTTTTCTTCACCACCCTCAAATCTGGTCTCCCGTCTCATGTTTCTTACCTCTTAGAAAAGCCCTCAGGAAAGTGCCACAGCTTTTTTTTTTTTTTAACTCTTAAATAACGACAACAAAACTGGATAAAGGAAAGAAAGATAGGAAGAAAGCATAAACCATAAATGAATGAATGAATGAATAAATAAAATGCCCCAAATCTCAATCCAGCCTCCTCTTACCCAGCAGGGTTCCTGTCACCCCCAACTGTGGCCTCCCTCGGACTTCGCATCCTGTGGTGGAGAAGAGGGGCCAAAACTGGCTTTGTTTTCTAGTACCCAGAAATTTGATCAAATGCCAGTCCAGATGTTGCTGTGAAAGTATTTTTTTAGGTGAGATTAAGATTAAAATCGATAGACTGAGTAAAGCAGATTACTGTCCATAATGTGGATGGGCTTCATCCAACCAGTTGAAGGTCTTCGGAGAAAGACAGGTCCCGTGGGGAGAGGGAATTTTGTCAGCAGACTGTTTTGGATTTGAGTGCCGCCGACACCTGGATCTCTGGTCTGCTGGTCTACCTTGCAGATTTCAAGCTTGCCAACCCCCACAATCGTGTGAGCCAATTCCTTAAAATCAATCTCTCTCTTTTTCTCTCTCTTGCTCTCTATACACACTGGTTCTGTTTCTCTGGAGAATCCTGACTAATATAATATCTACATCTAAAGACCATAAACTCACACTGACACCTCCAATTCCAACCCAACACCATGGCATTTATTATAGCCCGTCTCCTTTCCATAGCATAACCCCTCCTCTGGCAGCCAGGAAGCTGGCTCCCACAATACTTTATGGGCTGATGTGTTTGCTCAATCCTCCCTTCATGCAACCCATCTCCTGACTGCATTGTGCCACCAAGAGCTTGCCTCTGATTCAGGCAATGGGACAGA